TCGCTATGCTTTTGTTATAGTTTATGTAAGGTAAATCGCCGGCGACGATTCTCCCACCACCACCACCACCACCACCACCGCCACCGCCTCCGCCGCCGCAAGAATTGTTATCAAGAAAATCCCCAAAATTCATGAAATGATATCTATGGATGAAAAAAAAACTTCCTTTTTAACCCCCCACTAAGAAAAATTGCTGGATCACGGACTCAATTATATCAGAAGAGAGATGTATATATATACATATACATATATGATAGTGGTGTATATATATGTCAGAAAGCAAAGATTTAGTTGTTCCAAAAAACGTTACAAATACAATGATTTTTGCACACAGATTAAGGAAAAAAAAATTAGAGAGAGAGAGAGAGGTAGAGGAGACACAAGGCCTAAAATCCAAATGTCTCAGCTTCCTCTCCAAAATTGTTTTTTTTTAATTAAATCGAATTTAATTACAGTAGTGAGAGAAAGTAAGAGAAAGAAGGCAACTTCTGCGCTTCGTTCTCAAACCCTCTCTCTCTCTTTCTCTTTCCTAAACTAAAAGAAAAAAAACCCACTTTCTCTCACTAAAAAAAATCCAATCTTTATTCCATCCAATGTGAACAACAAGAACATGAAAACCCTAGTTTCTTTTTTCTTTTCTTTTCTTTACTTCACTTGTTATCTCAATATCTGCATGCTTGACTTGCTACCTAAAAAGCCAAAAAGCTGGAAAAACAAAAAACAAAATTTAAGAGAGAGAATTTTATTCTGCTGCTTTTAGAGAGAGAGAGTGAAGATAATACCCGCAATACTATGTGGAGTTTTCGAAGACCACATATACATAACACCAAAAAATATAAAATTATTACAGAGAGAGAAAAAGAAAAGGGTCGGGTCGGTTGACTCTCGATTACACACAGTACACACACTGATCTATACAAAAATACTTTTTCTCTCTCTGTCACAAGATTTTGTTTTTGTGACGGCAGTGAAAATTTTGACTTCCTCTTTATTTTTATTTTTTAACCCCCATTTTTTACAAAGTGAAGGAAATGCATGTACTGATTTTTGTTTTTATTTGTTTAATTTTATTTATTTAATTCATTTATATTGTTTTTATTTATTTTTTTATTTACAGACTGTCTACTTCGATATATCCTCCTGGAATTCTCTCCCATTTTCTGATCAATGCCCACATTCATTTTCTGATCAATGCCCACATTCACACACACACGTACACATCTCTTCTTGGTCCACACACATATATATAATTTTCTATGTAAAAATCAAGAAATTTAGGGGTCAAGTTACCACTTTGTAAAAAGATTGCATTTTTTTTCTACGATAAATTACGGTTTAACCACGAGATAAAGTCAAATTACGAATTAACACCTCATGGTTGGATTATTACAATTACCCTCCTCAATTATGGATATTTTTACACGTTCACCCTGTCAAATTTCAACATAATCTTTTCGGTTACGTGGAATGTTTCCTAGTTAGAACTCGTTTTATGCAAAAATGCAGTTTCTGATGTGCCACAGTCTGATATTTATGATCATCTTGTTTCAAAATATGGAGCTTGAATAGGATAAAACTGGTACAAACTGGAGATTATTCCACGTAATCTAGAAGATTCCAACACTACGAGGGTAGATGTGTAAGAAAATTTATAGTTCAAGAGATAGTTGTAATTATCCAAATATGATAGGATTTTCATAATTTAATCATAATTCAGATAGTTGGGTCATAATTTAACCTTTTTTCTAAGAAGTGAGCAGCTAATTCACTCGAAAATTAAAATAACAAAAAGGGGTTGTGTTCTTTATGTTGCAGATATATTCTGATTCTGAATAAGGTTAATATTCTAACATATTAGAATCTTTTGAATTTCAAACAGATTTGTATGATTTTTTTATTCTTTTTAATATTTTATATAACTATTTAAAAAAAATGTATATATAAACGATATATATGTATGTAGACCTTTTTGGGCTGTAGTAGGTTCATTTGGTCCAAGTCCAGCTCAACCTAATTATGATGGGCTGGAGTAGTTAAACATGCACAAATCACAATTAATATAAGTACTTAACACATTATTAATTGTTCAAATAAATATCATCATTTAGATATATTACTGTTTTTTTTTTTAATATTTTTTTTTAACTTTTTGCATTGATTCTTTTTGTACATGATCACTCAACTCAATTCTTCAGTGCAACTCTATATGCACGTGCAAACATAGCGAAGCCAGAATTTTAAGTTCGGAGGGCTGAATGCATTAAACGAGAGGGGACCGTCAATGCTATTATACACGACTTTTTTTTATATATTTATAATATTTCACCAACATTTATTTAAAGATTTGGCATTGCTTGAATTTGAGGAATTATTATGACATACTATTGGATTCACATGCAATAAGAGTGGTTTGATGGCTACCACATTTAATTTACTCAACCATTCTATTCAAATCCCAATTATTTCCTACCCTACTCTATCATAATCTATGAAATTAATTAGTCAATGTACTTCAATTAACATTTTAATCTTTTAATCTTGACTCTTATTATTATTATTATTATTGTGAATATTGTGAATATTGTGGATACTTTAGAAAACTAATATATATTTTATTCTGAATTATGGCACGCATATTAAGAGAACTAATAAATATGCACAGATTATAGGAAAAAAACACTGAGAGTGACTGAAATATCCCTTCTTGTAATTAATTTAATTACATCTCCACTCGACCTCTCTCAATTGGTTAATAATGAATAGAGCGAAATCACGAAAAGTGTGATAAATACATCATTGGATCTTTAAAGTGACATAATTCGAAACGGAAAATTTATATCTTTAAAGTGACATAATTCGAAACGGAAAATTTATATTCTTAAAATCGACAAATATTTTGGAATGGGGAGAGTATTTTTTTACTCGTGACAATTTTGCATACGCAATTTATTTTACTCTTGGCAATGAGGAATGATAATCCATTTAATTTGCTACTTATTCTTTCATGACAGTGAGGTTTCAACCTTCTTTTGGTATATTTAAAATTATAATAAATAAATAAATAATATATATATATATATATATGCACATAAACTGCACATGAATTTACTGGACCATATTGTGAAGTTTGCATCATCTAATTAACCATTGTTCTAATATTTTAAATCGAAAAATCATTGTTTTTTTTAAATCAAAATTTGCTTGTAATTCGATCTTTTTTTATAATCGAAAAATATGAGATCTTAAACCGACAATACATGTTTTCCATTACTTACCATTTGCATCATTCATGAATCGAATAATTCGAAAAAAAAATTCACCTGCGAAGAGTGGTGTTCACAGTGTCAACTTTCTACGTCGGAAATGCAATTCCATGTAAAATAATTTCTTCGTTCTCGTAAGTAAAAAATCCAGTTCTTGTCTATTCTTAATATATCTCCGAATTAATTTTCTGTTTATTTTTATGTCTTCAAACATATGTACAATTTCGTCTCATGCTGACAGATTCTAGGAAAAAATATGCCATAAATTAAATGCAGATCAAGACATGTATGTATATTACTATGATTATTTGTCAATTCAATTCAATTATTTATTTATTTATTTATTATTATTTAGAGCTGCATTTTCTTGTATTTCCCTCCATGTAACTGTCAAACCCATTTTCCCTGCAGTTTCCTAACTATATTTTCCTTAATTCTTCATCTTGACCTTGGGATTTAGTACAAGAATTTCCCTAATATAACTGACTTATTCTATAAATTAATCAACAACGATATTTCGTACGATTTACGACGAATTCCTCGTGTTTTATTTTTGGAAATATTTTATCTGGATATATAATTAAGATATCTCAGGTAGGAGACTTAACGTATTTCTTGGTCAATTTTTATGCCTTACATATCCGAGTATATACCGATCGATGTAATTAAATTAAGCTCTATTAATCGCTAATCGACACGGTAAATTGGTACGTTTGAAGATAAAATCCAACTAACGAACAATTGTGTACATCATTAAATACATTTTTTGTTTGTATGCTACATGCATGGTAGACCATATATATATATATATATTGTGGACCAATTAATACTCAATTTCTCTGTAATTGCTTATGAAAGAATATATCTATCTTCGGTTTACCAATTCAATTCCTAATTTTGAAATTTGTTTTTTTCTCAAATTTCTTACATATATATACATAGATGTATATATATAGTAGGGTTTCTTTTTTTCAATGATTGACTTACAAGTCTAAGAAAGAAATGCATTCATTGTTACTCCATTTGTATACATCACTTGTTCTTCTTCTGCTTAATTTTTCCAAAGCTCAAAATTCAAGTACTAGTAAAAGCAGCAATAAAATCGATTTTAATGTCGGAGTGATTCTCGATTTGGCTTCACCGGAGTCGCCGGTGGGGCGTATAGGAATGAGCTGCTTATCGATAGCCCGTTCCGATTTTTATTCGCTCCATCCCGACTATAAAAGCAGGCTCGTTTTCCATATTCGAGATTCTAACAATAGTGTCGTTGATGCTGCAGCTGCCGGTAAATTTCCGATTTTTTTTTTCTTTTTTTAATATATTCGGGACTAATAGACATGATCGACATTGCAGCTCTCGATTTGCTGCAAGAAGTCAAAGTGGATGCAATTATCGGCCCTCAACAGTCAACTCAGGTTGACTTTTTGATGGATCTCGGAGAAAGGGCTCGTGTTCCGATTATATCCTTCTCGGCCACGAGCCCTTCTCTGGTCCCACAAAGTCCTTTCTTCGTACAGACAGCTCAAAGCGACGCCACTCAAGTTCAAGCTATCGTCTCAATAGTCGAAGCGTTTAAGTGGGCCCAAGTTGTTATTATGTACGAGGAAACGGAATTCGGAAACGGGATTATTCCTTCCCTCTCCAACTCGTTGCAAGATGCACACGTTCGAGTTTCTTACCGAAGTGTTTTTCCTAAATCGGCCACGGACGATTTTATAGGTAAAGAGCTCTACAAAATGATGGCAATGCAGACAAGGGTATTTTTGGTACACACGTCGCAATCTCTCGGAAAACGGGTGTTTCTAAAAGCGCGAGAATTAGGTATGATGAGCGAGGGGTACGTGTGGATTGTTACGAGTGGATTGACCGATTTATTCAATTTGGTCGATTCCGAAGTTGTTGAAGCCATGCAAGGGGTTATCGGGGTGAGGCCCTTAATCCCGAAATCGAAGGAATTCGAATCCTTCGCTTCTAGATGGTTACGGAAGTTTCTTCTGGCAAACGAGAATCATACGATGATCAAGCCGACCGAAGTGAGTGTGTTCGGTCTTTGGGCTTATGATACTTTTTGGGCCCTTGCTATGGCGGCCGAAAGAGTTGGGAATAACATAACACACGTAACGAAAAATGGAGCTGACGTGGCACATGCGGGCCCGTTCGCGGTGGAAGTTTCGGAAACGGGCCCTAAAATTCTAGAAGCATTACTAAAGATCAAGTTCCCAGGACTTGCCGGAGAGTTTAGCCTCGTTAACGGACAATTGGAGCAAACATCGTACGAGATAGTTAATGTTGTCGGAAGAAACGAGAGGCAAGTGGGAACGTGGGCCCCGTCTAGTGGAATTTCGAAGAATTTAAAGAGTATAATATGGCCCGGGGACTCGACGAAAGAACCTAAAGGATGGGAAATTCCCGTAATCAATGGTAAGAAACTAAGAATTGGTGTGCCGAAAAAACCCGGTTTTAACGAGTTTCTGAAAGTCGAGATAGATCCGAAGACTAATACACCCAACGTTACTGGATACTATAAAGAGGTTTTCGATGCCGTAATGAAAAGTTTACCGTACTATGTACCGTACGATTACGTTCCGTACCCATTTTTTAACTCCAACGGTTCGAAAACGGGGAACTACGACAATCTCGTGCATGAAGTTTCATTACAGGTGAGTCTTAGAATAAATATATACCTCAATTTTGTTTTCTGTCTTAATACATATTTTGTTAATAATTCTTGGTGATCATATATACATATATATAGGAAAATTATGATGGTGCTTTAGGGGATATCACCATTACGGCTACACGGTCGACTTATGCCGATTTTACCCTTCCGTATGCCGAAGGTGGGGTCGCTAGCATAGTTCCCGTAAAGTATGAGGACGTAAACGACATTTTCACATTCTTGGAGCCCCTAACTATAGAGCTTTGGCTAACAATGGCAGTCTTTTATATCTCGACGGCCCTAGCGATTTGGATCTTGGCTAATCGGACCAATGTCGGTTCGCCAGCTCAGCATGCCGGCATGGTTTGCTACTTCCCATTCTTTCCTGGTAAAATTTATTAACCTTAATCTGATCAAATTAAATAAAATAACTTATTATATAACTTTGGTTTTTTTTTGTTTTGTGTGTGTGTGTGTGTAGGAGAAGGAATTGAGGCAAACTTACTTTGTTTGATTCTCGTGACGTGGGCTTTCGTAGCGAGCCTTTTGAACTCGATTTACACCGCCAGCCTGTCGTCTAGAATCACAGTGGCGAGGCTTCGACCGATGGTGACAGACGTGTCGCAGCTCACCAAGAACGGGCATTTCGTCGGGTGTCAAGAGGGTTCTTTTTTATTCGATTTCTTGAAAACTACTTTGAAATTCGACGAGGCGAAGATCAAGACGTTCAAATCGGCCGAAGCTTGCGAAGAGGCTCTTTCATTGGGGAGCAAAAACGGGGGCGTGTCGGCCTATTACGACGTGATGCCACACATTAAGCTTTTGTTGTCCCGAAACTGCGGCAAGTATATGATCGTGGGCCCTATCCATCGTACTGATGGATTCGCCTTCGTAAGAATAATATTTTTGTCTCCAATTCACACACGTACCCACATGGATGTGTACGTATTTCTAAAAGACGATTTTAACCTTTAACTTTTTTGTATACTTTGTACCAAAATTCAGGCTTTTTCGAAGGGTTCGCCACTAGTTGCAGATATCTCAAGAGCCATAATACAGCGGATCGAAGACGGCACGATTCTCGAGATCGAGCAACGGATGACGATTGGCAAGGAATGTTCCGAACCGGAGACCAATAGCTCGCCGACAAGTGTCACGCTGCGGAGCTTCCTCGTCCTTTTCGCCATCACGGGCTGTGTGACTCTAACATGCCTCCTCGTTTCGCTGCTCAGGCACCTCCATACGAAGAGATCTTTTCCTCAACGAATATCCGATTTTAATTCCAAGGTCGGTTTTTTCGTAATTTCGTTGCGCGAATATTTTAAGCCAAACGAGACCTCGTCTCTTCCCCGGACTGCAGATATGCAAGCTGAAATGGATACCATGTAATTTTATTTCAATACAATATCTTTAATTATTTCTACCAATTTGAAATTATATATAAAAAAATTACGAATTTATAATCGGTTGCGGTTTACACTTCGTAAATTTAATAAATCAATTTTTAATTCGATTTACGATTTAACAGCCACCCGGGTTACAAGTCCCAAATTATATACATAATGCATTTCTAATCATCTACAGAAAAAACATATCTTTCCCTACACTACTAGGACATATCACAACACAGTCAACACACAGTCCACCTTTAGTGTGTGTGCAGTCAATCTGGGTCAACGAGAATTTGACGTTCGTTTTCTCGTTCGGATCCTCTACGACAAAATCTCCAACATGGTAGTGAACCCAGTTTCCCAAATTGCCCAGCATGCAACGGGAAGCCGCATGCTGGCCGTGCTGAGTCGTCAGCTGAAACTGGGCGGGCTTTAAATCCCAACCTTGGACGTTTTCGTAATTATACACACGCCGCCCTAATAACCTCTTCCCGACTTTTCCGAGCTGTAATCGGAAGAAGAGGCTGTAAGTTCCTGTCGGGAAGAAGAAATCGAGGTCTCCGTCTACTTGCAGCCACCATATTTGTTGTAGATACGCAATCGTTTGAAATCTACATAGGTAAAAAACAAGAAATCATTTAGTACCAAATTACGAAAACTCTCCTCCTGTTTGGGTAATTGCAACCACACCCCTCAATTATGTATTATCTTACGAAAATACCTCTCCAGAAAATACCCCTCCAGAGGTAAATTTAGGGATGTTAATTCGGTAAAACCAAACTAAAGTTTCGGTACACTAACAATTCATACCGTTTACCGCACCGAATATACGATTTGGTTCGGTAAATAACCGAATTACATAAATTTTATGTAAAAATATTTAAGAGGGGTGGTTGTAATTACCAAAACAAGAGGGGGGTTTTCGTAATTTCGCCATATTTCAAGGTGGCAGTAATTTTCCCTGTATATATATATAGAAACAAGAAATTCATAAGAAACTAAAAGGTCTCAATTCCTTCACATAACTATTGACTTTGTTCAAATGAAGCTAAACTAACCAAGAAACGAAATAACTTAAGGGTGCATTTGGATGGAAGGATTTGGGGAAGGGATTTCAAATCCATAATAACAAATCCATTGGACTTGTTTGGATTGAGGGATTTGGGGATGAATTTCGAATCCACACCCCTCCTTTTTAGTTATGTTTTGAGCAATTGAGGTGGATTTCAAATGACTCCAAAATTGGAGTCATTTCAAATCCCTTCCCCAAATCAAATCCCTCCCCAAATCCTTCCATCCAAACGCACCCTAAGATTCTACTCCGATTTCACTTCTTTCGTAGGCGGATTTTTTACCAAATATCACAAGATTCGAAAATCGATAATCTTTCTCCGTTTGAAGTTCTTTATCTATATACTTATTCCCACAGTTGCTTCAAGCTAATCGGAACTCGTAAAACCATCGACCGCAACGAAAATAAGGTCTATTTTTTGTTTTTCGCACGAAAATCAAATAGGAGATACATTATACATACATTTTCAAGAAACATAGTTAACAATATCCATCATCAATAAATAAATTTATAAAAAATGCTAAAGAAGAGGCAACCTGGATTCATTAGTTGGAATGTGATTCCAATACCTCCGATCATCGATTCCGGTTATCACGAGAGCTTTCGAAGAAATCGCCAAACATACCCCACCTGTTCTCTTATCAATCCAAACTTCCTATTCCCATAAAAAATAAATTATAACTCCAAAAATTAAATAAAAATTGAATCTTTAGAAAGAAAAAAAGGCACTAACCTTAGTGCCACCGTCAAAAGGGGTGGGCCGGCAAAGCCTGGCGTAAATGTCCTTCTTGCCCTTGTCGCCGAGGCCCTGATCAGACAATAGGGCGAGGATATAGGGATAATTGGAGGGTAATTTAGGAACCCAGATAAAATCGGCGGACGATGCTGCACGGAAAGCCCGGTTGAGTCTGGCGAGCTTGGCGATCTCCGGCGGGTCCAAGTGGGAAAGGACAAGGGCTATGCAGGATTCCGGTATGTCCTCAAGTTTCGGCCTGGTTAGTGGGCCCGGCCTGTTGGGCTCTATGGGGAGAGAAGATGCGCTTGCGCCCATTCTCCGATGACCGGAATTTCTTTTTTTGCAGATGGCCGGAAAATGGATTTTGACAGAATCGTGAGAGAGAATCTGGTCTAACGAAAGGAAAGTAAAGCGGTCAAATTCATTTGGTTTATGCAGAGGAGAATCTTAGAGAGAGAGAGAGAAAAAGAGGTGAGAGGTGTGTTCGTCTGCTTTAGGCCGTTCCGATGTGTTCCGTGTACATTCATTTTTGTACACTTATTTATTTCGCTGTGGCTATTGTTTTTCCTTTTTTATTTATTAATTATTAAAAAAGAAAAACTATATGTACTATATAAACAAATAGTATATATATAATTTAGGTATAATTTAATGTAGAAGCCCTGTTTGGTTGCGAAGATAAGCCATGATTAACTAAATAGTTAGACTTAATTTGATGTTTGGTATCCTCAATAACTTGCGGGGTCGACCCGCCAAAATTACTTAATCATGGCTTATCTTGCCTTATCTTGGCTTATCTTGCCTCTTAATGAGTTTTTTTTGTTGGACCTTTCAAGCTCCAATAAAATAATTGAGTCTCATTAGTTTATTTAATCTTATCTTGGCTAATCTTATCTTGCCAACCAAACGGGGCCTAGCTTCAGAATTATTATAAAATTTCATTGAACACTGAACTAATCTTTAAGTTGTTATGATTTGAAATTCATTCATATACGATTAAGATTGGGATGAAAAAAATTAATGTTTGTTATGTTTTGGGTCATAAACAAATTTTATAATTGAGGCCATACTAACTAAATATAGGCTACCCAACTCTTGAAAATGTCCAACCAAGTCAACCCTCTTTGTATTGACCGTCCACATTACTTCGTTTAATTGTGGCGACTACTCACTCAGACTTAATTATCTCTTCTCAAGCATGCTTAGTTTTGAATGTGCCGACTTAATTATCTCTTCTCAAGCATGCTTAGTTTTGAATGTGCCGTATCTCTCTCTCTCTCCTCCTTTCTCCATTTTTTTCCGAACAGTATTTCTGTCATCAGCTTGTCTTTTTCCAGACAATTCTTTACAGAATCTCTATCGTACATGGTTGACTTTGACTTAGGAGTAGCTTTACGCATTTCTAAGTTTTCTTCTAACAATCGTCTTCTTCTGTCAACGATTGAAGTCTTTGAGTTGACCGAGTGTGATAGTGTTTTTTTTTTCTTTTCTAAAGAACGATATCTACTGGTTCCTCAATTCTCTTTCGGTTGACTCGAACCCATGACCAAATAGGTCCTAGATGCAAGACAGTGTGAGAGTGTTCCTTTTCTTAATAAAAAAAAATGAATTAAAAAAAAAAAAATCAAACTTGAGTCTACTACTACAACGTTGTCGGCACAAGAAAGAGCAAGTACTAATTACTTAATGCAATAGTAGTATGTAATTATCGACGTAGTAAATAGGAAGCTACATATTATTACTGTCACATCGTTGAGCAACAAAATAGACAATAAAAACATTGCATATAAACAAGGTGAAATTACATTAACACCCTTCTTCTCGCAAGCAAATTGCTCGAATTCATGTAACACCTTTAACCACCGCCTTAGCTTGTCTTAGCCTTCGGTGCTGATGGAAGCAACTGCTCAACACAAATCAGACATTTTTTCGTCAGCACGAGTTAGAATGTCCATATACGTTTGGAACCCCGGATCTTGGTGTACTTTTGAGGATCGTTTGAATAAAAATTGAATATCGGACAATACTATAGTAAAATATAATGATATTTATACGTGAAAATCGGACGTATGGGGTTAGAATTAGCACTTTCGAAAAAAAAAAGACATTTTTTTTCGTAAGTGAAAAATTAATTCCAATTTCGTTCCAAAACCAAAACCACCAATCACGTAAAGAAAAAGTGAAAAGAGATATTACCTGGTAGCACGAGATAAGAGAGCTGACGAATCCAAAACCACCAGTTACACGAGGAGTCACTTTCTTCGGTGCCAATTGAAGCAAACCAACCGCAACAACAATGTCCATAGCTGCTTTAACGAGAGCAAGTGATCTCTCGTTCGAATTTTGAAGCTTCGTTTTGTATTGCTCATTCTAAAAACAAAAAACCCAAAACCAACAAAAAAGAATCATATAAAAGAATAAAATGATACGAGCCCCGTTTATGTTAGTAGGTGGTCACAAAAAACAGACCTTATATTTATTAGTATTCTTCAGCTCCTTCTCCAACTTCTTCATCGATGATGAAAGCCTTCCAATTTCCCCGATCTGAAATAATTTTTCAAATATCGATCGAAATTCGGAAGTAAAATCATATTTAAAGTTATAAAAATATTACCTCAACGAGGGTGGTGCAGACAGACGAGCCCAACCAACAGAAAAGAGAAATCCTTCCAAGTAGTTCCGCACGTTCTTTGTTCTGCATGGGAAATAATTTCAGCTTACTCGTTTAATAAACTCTTTTTTTCCCGATTTTTCTGATTTTCCCGAATCGACAACGGTGCATTTTTTAAGATGTACCTTATATATGCCTGTTCTGCCCAGCCACACAATTTGATCCAAGAACAAGAAAGTCGACAACAGTGCATTTTTTGACTGAAACGGACATTGATTAGAAGGGTAAAATGGGAATAAATTATTACTAAGTAAAACGCTGGATAAATAAAACGATAGCCACCTTTCCCAGCAAAATCAGTGGAAGTGGAGTTCCTGGTACGTTCGGACTAACGAGAGCATGAAGATCATTGACAAACTGAAATCAAAATAAAAGATAAAAAATAAAACACGAAAAGATAAATATTAGTTGAAAATCGAAAAATTCAATCATGCTCAGATAAATACGGCTGGATCTTCTCTTTTACAATCCTCGTTCGAAAAATATGAATTGAAAATACAGACCTTGAACAAACGGAAAACTTTTCGAGCTAAGCTGGTCGATTTGTCGACGTTTTGTGCAGTACCAGGTTCACCGTTACTCAAGAATTTCGAACCGTATTGAATCGCCCTGCATATCTTGTCCCTTGCTTCGGCTTTATTCAGATACAATACCGCAAGAGCTAGCTCTGCTCTCGCTACATCCAATGAACTCATCTTTTTATCTTGTTAATTAAAACCTAATCAGTAAATAATTCAAAATAAAACCTAATCAGTAAACAATTCAAAATAAAATTAACAGTTCAGTAACATAAATTGATGGTTTTGCTACTTTTACTGAAGGCAACACACACACACACACACACACACACACACACACACACACACAGAACTCATTTCAAAGTAACACATCGAATTCACATAAAAATTGACATGAATCAACAGAAACAAGGTTAAATGAATCCAATTACAGCTAAAAAAACAATAATTTTTAATAATCGACAGATAGATACAAAAAATTGGGGAAATTCTTCACATGAATAACTAAGATTTGTATATACATACAGGTATAGATACATATACATATGTAAAAAATCGATAATTACCGGGGATTGTGTCGAGCTCGACTCGTTCGCTTGAAATTCACAATGTAATTAATTTTTTTTCTCTCTCTAAACTCTCTCTTCTTCTTTCTGTAGCATAATAAATAAATAAATAAATAAATTATATAATAATTTTTCATTCGGTGATGGTTCAGATAAAAGACCGGCGGCGGGGGACAAAAGGCGTGTTTGGTCCTCTTATTTATTTATTTCTTTTAAATAAATTAATTTCAGTTGAGTAAATGCAATTTGGGATAAACTTTGAACGTCAGCCGCACAATGTACGAAGCTTATCATTTGATCCAACGGTTGGCGTAGCTTGAAAAGTTTGGGTGTAGTTCATTTATCGATCGGTGTAATAAAATATCTTTTTTTTTTTTTTTTTTTTTTTTATAAGTGTGTAATATAATATCTAACCACACGTAGATCACTAAATTGCATTTTTGGTGATTTTTTTTTTATGTAGTACCAATAATAAAAGATGTAGTAGAATGTCCGTAAATAATTGTCGAATTTAAGTAATATTTTTTTCTTTTTATAATTGTCGAATTTAAGTAAATATTTTTTTCTAGTTCCGACTCGATGAGAACGTGTCAAAAGTAATTTGATAGTTATCTATTCAGCTAAATTAATATAATTTTGCTGGTGCATTGTAGTCATCCTCCATTATCCTATTTTTTTTTCTATTTATTAAACCAATAAAAAATATTTGTTAACAAATTAATGTTTTATGTAAGCATATTATACTTATTATTTTTCTATGTTATATATGCTTTATATTATCCTAGTTATTAATTTTTGACACGTTATACTTATTTAATATTTTTTTGAAAATTGAATTATAGATATTTGAACTTGTGTTGCCAAAAAACCAAAATAATCAATTTATTATTATTTTTCTTTTCATTTTATTTTTCATTCAATGACGTCATCGTTTATGCAATATGTCGGGCCTGCATCATAGATTGGGCTAAACAATTGGCTATGCCCTACTAGCTACAAGTTGGCTTGCATAATTTTCTTTAAT